GCCCGACGGATCTTCATTACGTGTTCGACAAAATCTTATCAGGCAGATTGAATCCGATGTCGAGCGAGATGAAGGTTTAGATTACGATCTCTTCAATTGCCTCCCAAGATTGCTTAAGTTAACATTCTAATATAAAACAAATGTGGTTCAATTACATGTGATCCAGATAGAACACGAACTCCTGCAGAAATAATAAATGATGTGTTGACTTGCATTCAGAATCGTGAAGAGGAAGCGGCAACAAGAGTAGACAAATTGGGGAGTCTGGTACGATTGATAAAAAATCACGAAAGGTTAAAATACACTTATCCGGCCGAGCCTTTTCTACGGGGGTATGTTGTGCGTATTCATGATATGCAATGAGTTTCCCCTTTTATTTGATCTTAACCTCACTTTCTCAAATGGACATTTCGTGGATCCTCAATCAGGCTGAGATTTTGTGTGACAGACTCGGTCAAGGAAGTTAGAATAGCGGGTTATCGAGCCTTACGTTATTTGATCGCTGACATTACGACTTTGGATCAAATAATAAGTTTGCATTATGATATGTTTTTTATGAGGTACGAAATTTTTGTTAACCTATAAGACTTTCGATAGCTTCATTACATCCGGATATTAAGCAAACATATTAGGTCTTTATCAAAGGAACCGCGTTCACACAACGATGAAAGGGAACAGGTGATCAAAATAGTAAGAACTTTCTCTGATGTTACGGACGGGACGAAGCGTATACCAATTGGTGTATTGAGATGCATCGTTTCCATAGCGGAACAACTAGATGATAAACTGAGGAATATTTGCCTCGAGACTTTAGCAGAAATAAGTGAGAATTCAATGATTCTTCTAATAGGACAATTGATGCGATATTAAATCCACGATTTCGTACAGTGATCCGAGAGCCAATACTTATTACTCGTTGTGGCGGGATGAGGATATTGCTGCAAGCCTTAATGGACGGTCCCCTGGAGCTTTCGGAATATTTGGTGATGGCTTTATTATACGTGATAGATACTCCTGATTCTAGAGATTGCATAAGACCCGGGGTTGATTTAGAGGTTAGAAAAGCTATATTTGTAAAATCTTATGAAGAAGACATTTCGGTAATAATTGCGATCTACTTTAGATTGTTCTTTCTGGTTTCACTGATGCGTGCAACAAAGGTCCAAAGTTTGAACAACAAGTGAGGGCCAGCTCTAGAGCAATATCAGTACTATTAAAATCGTGGACAGGAATCATATACTTATGCGTAGATAATAAACAAGCCGTGAGATCTATCGTGGAATCCTTCAGAATAACATCGGATGAAATACGGGTTAGTTGATGTCGGCTCTAGTAATTTATTGCCTAAATGGTTAAACATGAAGGATAAAAAAAAAAATCTTTTTTTTTATAATCATGTGTTTCGTATCCGATTGTGACCTTTCCTCCTTTTTTGAAAATAAATAGGAAATTATGCTTGATATGTTTTTCAATATTTTCCGAATCAAAGCGCCAGATTGGTATCCAAGTTTTTTATCGGGAAAAAGGCTCACGGGTAATTAGCTTTAAGGTTCAAGATTTATTTGACGTCTTAGCCATGCACGCATACTAAGTTATTCGAACCACATGAAAACTTGAACACAGTTTATGGACTATTATCGCCGGGAGAAAAAAGTAGCGAACCCAAATCCGAATCGTTAAAGGTCCAAGACAGGCTCAATTTGTTAGATCACCATTTGGTAATCTTGTTAGAGATATTCATAGACGCAGGACTTCTTGATGTAAGTTCTTAAACTGTTTGGAAATATCGTCATATGAGAATGAGATCTCTAATAAGACGCCATACATAGGCGCTAGTTGAAATTATAGAAGATAAAAACCAGCATGTTGCGCGCAGAGCAACGCTATTTATCGGGGAAATACTTCAATTGTCCAATCGATTACTATCTGTAAATCGATCAATAAAAATACAGGCAGGTTTCCAATCGCAAATGGCAGTCAAGATGATATTATTTTTTTAATCAATTTTCGTGATCTTGCCATTAGTCCCTCCCCAAGCTTTTTAACCTAGCCACCAAGTTTGATAATGAAATTGTACGTCACAGCGCAACAGCAGCGTTATCGCATATTGATAATTTAAATCGAACTCGAAGTCGTCTGCAAGTAAACGCGATAGACACCGATGATTCAACGTCTTCACCAAATCAACGAAGGCGAAACGCACGTCAGGTTGAGAATGTGAAAATTAAAATGGGCATACAGATTGATGACGCCCATTTTAGGAACATGTTATTGGAAACTCAGGTAACTTTCTAATGATGAATATATATCTATTTAACGAACACTATATAAATAAAAACCATAATTATAAAAAAAAAAACAAGGTTCTAAATACTAAAGATTATCTTAAATGGAATTGGGAAACACTGCTGGAATTATTGCAAGGCCCACTACTGAACCCGAGGCGACTCGAAGAAGCAATCAGATCCAAGTTTATGAAGCGACTTCTTGGATTTTTTAGACCGACCAGTCGGCGATTTTCTGAAATTGAAAAAACTCCTGTATGTCATGTAAATATTTTGAATTATATTCTTTTCTCCTTCCGTTTTAAAGGCGTTGTTTATCCAATTAATCTATTTTTAAGGAGAATGAACGCTATATACAATTGGGGTGCACGCTCATAACAACGCTGTTGGCTAATGCTGATGGTGTAAAGTATTTGGAAAGCAATAAATTTCTAAGGCAGATTGCGGACGGTTTGAATCAGCTTGATCCTGTATTAACTCGTTCCCTTTAATAATTTCCTTTTCCTATTCGAATGAGCTGCATAGTATCAACCTTTTTTTGTTTTATTTTTAGATTCACGGAACTTTTGAGACAGAACCATTGTTTTCCAAGGAAAGAATAAATAATACTTTGACATCCGGATATTTTACCATAATAGGTGTTCTCAGCAAATTCAAGGATGGAATCAAGTATTCACTTTTTATTTAATTATATACTTATGTTTATTTGAACATTTATTTTTTCTTTAAAAAGAGTAATTTTATGTATTGTAAAATTTCAGATTATTGGAGAAATTCAAAATTTTCAATACATTTTATCATCTAAGTGAATTGCGAAGCCGAGAAGATCTGATAAAGGCCATAATAACAAATCTTGATTACGGCCTGTACGTTAAATTTTTATCTGAATCAATCACATAATTGGACTCAATACGTACGCAATCACAGCTTAAAATAACAACTTTAATTGTTACCAGAGATGCACACCCTCGTATCCTTCTTTCGAAAGTGATGACATCAGGATATAAGGTAATAATAACCGATCACCTCTCACCCATGATTTCCGGTTTATATTTATACATTGCATGCATTATTTAAAGCGTGTTCGACTTTATGCCACAAAACACCTCGGACTAATCCTGCGTACGTCACCTAATAAATTTAATGAGTGGGGAATTCAGTTACTCATAACTCAGGTAACATAACTCTCAAAACTTATTTAATCGTTTTCAGTTCCCTTGTTAATTAATTAATCGATTTTACCAGTTGTATGATCCTGCAATGGAAGTGTGCCAAGTGGCGGTACGTGTTCTGGAAGAAACGTGTAACCACAAAGAAAACATTGAGCTGCTTGTCAAACTGCGACCTAGTTTAGATAATCTGGGAGAAGTAGGCAATCCCTTACTGTTGAGATTCTTATCCACCTCTATTGGATTCAAATATCTTTCTGAATCTGATTATGTTGAAAAAGAAATGGACGAATGGTTTCAGGTCTGTACTATTACGACAATCAATCATAATTGATGAATCATGATGGATTAAATTTTTATATTACGCGAAATAGTCTCGTAATCAGTACTATGTGACCCAGCTGGAAGTGTCCTTAGCAAATGCATTGAAGCTTGATGGCGATGAAGTACGTGGAGATGATGATGACAAGGAAGTTAAAATGTAAGTTTGTCCTAAATTGATGAAAACGTAGTGATCGTTTTGTTAAATTTATTTGCATCAATGTGTTCTAAATAACTAGGCACAATTTTGATGGAATGTCTCCGGCACACTTTTACGGTGAACTTACTAAAACAGAAGAGGGTTGTCAATTATTAAGAGAGAAAGGTCATTTTTCCGAGTTTGCAAATTTCATAAGAGAACATGGGATGGAACGACGTGACGCTGTTATAATTTCAAAACTAAAATCGATCCTCTGGGCTGTGGTAAGCTTCTATAATTCATCTTCGCATAAATTCAACCTTCTTTGCGAATAAATTAATTCAGGATATGATTATTTAGGGAAATATTGGGGGATCCAAAAGTGGGCTGCAATTTTTGGAAGAGGAAGACATTGTAAAAGACATAGTTTCTATTTCTGAAAATTCCACTGTCCTTTCATTAAAAGGGTTCGAATTTTTTGAATTTATATTTCGCTTACTTCTTACCTTGCGCTTTTTCGCTTATTGAACGTGCTTTTATATTTAGGACCTGCTTTTTTGTACTGGGTTTAATTGCAAAAACTGCATCTGGTGTCAAAATCTTAGAAGACTTAAAGTGGGAGTGTGTATATGATCCATATACAGAAATAGGAACTGGCTTATGTTGCCCTATGAATTCTGATGCATTTCTCTCAGTAAGTACAAAATTGTCTATTTAATACCGATACTGATGATACTGATGATACTTATCCATCATTGGTTGGCAGTTTCCAAAATGGACTTACAAAGGATTTGAGTATACACCTGATCTGCCTGTGAAGTCTATAGTTCCAAGTTCACAGGCTGAAAGGGATCTATTAAAAGCCATGGCAAATTTAACCAATAGGATATTGTCAAGTGCAGGCTCAAAAAGCTTATCCAAGTGAGTGATATTTATGCTATGTTGTTACAATTAATATTATACTTTTATGACCTAAATAATAAATAATTTAATCCATTCAACAGGATAAAATCTCAATATCCAGAAATATTCTCACAAATAGGCTCCTATTACAAGGTGGTTCAGATGTTGTCATCATATCATTATAGACTGCCTACTCGGCGTTTTGCAAGCGACTTATTTGATGTGGATTTCACGGCAGATGCATTCGATCAACTCGATAAGCTTGTAGATGCACAAACCCGTGCCGTCGAGGCCAACGGAACTTCAGATGACACAGCAGATGAAGAAGAGGACAATCAAATCCATCAACAAAAAATGGAAAATTTTGCAAGGGTCCATCGCGGTAGCGATGGTGTTGTGGCCATAATTTCTGAAGATAGGGCAGATTCGACGACGGAGATTGTACCAAAGCAAGACTTACAACCTCTTAAGGTTATAAAAGGTTTCGAGACGTGAATTTTGCCTTTTATTTTTATCAATTTTTTTTCCTCGGAAAATTTGTACAGTATTTATTTTATATTCATTACTTCTTTGAATCTTGAACAATTGGCTGGTGTATATATTATTTGGCTGTTGGGTAGATTATACATATAGTAGAAACTGATGTTCTATTTTTTTGCTTATAATACTTATTCAGTTTCCTTATTTAATTATTTCGCATTCAGTTCAAGCCCAATACAATGAAGTGGTTTACTATCAAGCATGCACAAACTATATATTATTTAATATTATGAAATTTTTCGAATTTGTAGACCAATTTTTAAATGTAACAGCACCTATTTATTGTTTTTGCTGTAGTTTTAGTAACACCGTTATATTCACTGTAAAATATTAAAATTATTCACAAAAGGTATTATTTCATAGTAATAAAAATGTTAAAGTATTAAACATGTGTAAGTAAAGCATAAGAAGAAAATGTATATTGATTATTTACTGCATATACCGTAAACAAACCTTTCTCTTTTGATTTAACCACTTGACGAATTAATAGCAATTGCCGCTATTCGAATGGATACAGATTCAAACTTTGAATATCAAGCATTTATAAACTACGCTTATTATTCATCATAATTATTTGGTATAATTATAAATCAAGATGAAATAATATGTATATGCATAGAACATAAAAACAATAATAATTGAAATGATATGGATTCATTATTAGAACTTTCAAGACAATTAATATAATAGAATAAAATATCTAGTTGAAATTTACTTAAGTTTGAAAGTCTTGTTTATTCTTCAATTATATAAGAAGATCCATAGCAATTTTTTTTCTTTTATTTCTTGCACTCTCCTTATTTTTACTATATTATAAAAACCATTCACATTAATATCATCACATTTGACAAATTATATATCTTTCAAAAAATATATTTAAACAAAATTATTGAATCTACTATTTGTTTTAACTCAATCTTTATATATAATCTTATTATAGTATCCCTTACTGTATTATTTTAAAATTTTCAAAATCTTTTTTTAAAAAATCAAAATCAATTTATTCTCTTTAGATAATTATTGCTCTTTAATTATTCAATCAAATTTTGTTAAAACAATAAAGCAAAAACTGAACTTGTTTAAACTGTTTTTTAACACAATAACAATAATTATTACTATTATAACAATAAACAATATCAACCATACTCTATTATTCATGTCAATAAAGGTTGTATCTCTAAGATCAGTAGCAATACAAGGGTTGAACAATTGATTTTCATTTAGAAATTTTTTTATTTATATAAATTTTATAGTTTAAATGACTTAGTTTTAGTTTTAATAATTTATGTTATTGTAGCTCCAATTTTTTTTTCCTTTAATTTTTATTTCTTTTTCATTTTTTCTATATTAAATCAAAAAATTTTAAGTAAGTAGATATAGTTACTATTCAATTATATTTAGCATATATAATATTGTTTTAAAATTTATTTTTGATATTAATTAGATATGGTTATATAGGCAAGCTAGTATTTAACTTGTTGTATACTTTGTACTCATGAGATATTATTTTTTTTACAGTGTATATAACTTTATAGTATTGTTAGCATGTAAAAAGGTGATAGAAAATAATAAGGAAAAAGGTATAGTAAGTATATCAAGTATATCAAGTAT